TATATTTACATATGTACATGCCTGTATTTAGACCTCTATAAATGTCCTTTGCCTCCTAGTTCTTTCCTCTATTTCCTTTTACTTTTCTCTTCTTCCACCATCGTGTTCGGCCTTCATTTGGGTTTAGTAATTCCTCGCTGGTACATTGCTCTTGATTACACCCCACTAGGCATCCTACACCCTTCTCTTCCTTGATTTTAGTTCACTTATTATTCCCTCCGCCCTGGGTTGATTCCCCCCTCCCTCCCTTTCTCCCACCTCCACTTCTCCCATATCCCCCCAGAACCATTGGTCCCATTCTTTTCATCTGTGAATTATTTATCCCACCTGTGTTATCTAGATAGACATGCAGAGGTTCTTGGTTTCTGATGGCTGCATTACAAATACTGTAAAATTGAATCAGTGATGAGTTACAGACTATGGATCTCTAAATGGCATAGTCAAGTGTCATTAGGAACATTTCAATGACCATAGGCGTTTATGATTGTGGCTCTGTGTCCACTATAAGTGTTACCTGAAGCCCCCTGTCTCCCTAGGGTCCGCTCCCTGGCCTTGAAGCTCCTGACTTTCCACCTCACGCAGGAAGATGGGGCCGACAGGAAGCGCCCCCTCATGGACTCCCAGGCCCTCTCCAGGGTCACACACTTGTTCATTGTGAAGAAGCCCATTGAGCTCACTCTGGATGATAGAAGAGAAGTCGTCATCAAGGTGACCCGGCTTTTGAGTTGTTGGTTCTGGCTCCCGGTGTCTGTCACCACCACGTCCTGTGCCTTCCTGACCCCTGTGCTAGTGCCGTAGGGCAGTGAGGAGCAGCCGCCGCAGTCTGTTCATGCAGCTGGGACTGGCCGGCAGCTCATCGTCCACAGGCAACTCTTCATGTGTGGTCACTTTTTCCCCAGTGCCTACTATTTGCTGGATGTTATTAAGCCTCTTTTGATTTTGAATGTATATCGGGAATATGCAAATTAATTTTGGGTCTATCCTAAATATCAAGCTAATCGAGCTGAAAGAAATTTTGGCATGCATTTGTTTAAAATACATATCCCTAACAAAAACATTATTGGGAATGGCAGTCGCCAGAAACTCTGTTCTACTGGCAGCAGGGGCATTGGCATCTCAGACATGCCACAGCCATTCAGAGGTTTCGTTGTTGCCCTTGGCTCCTCCTATCCCCCAGCTGCAGAACATTCAACTGGCCCCCTGCCCCGCTGCGTGGCTCCCTGACCAAGCCCCTGCTCTGCCTGTCCCTTTACTTCTGCTGCCAACCCACACGACAAAGTCCCCTGCTTGCTGGGGAGAAGTAGTCCTTGTTCTTCTCCCCCAAGGGTTTGTCCCGGGGTGACCCGGTGGCAGCTGCCGGGCAGGGGGATCTCTCCTGCCTGCGTTCCAGTGGGCTGTCCTGCCTGTGGAGATGCTAAGGAAGGCCCTTTCTGAGTCCCTACTGAGTGCGAGGAGATGGTGGGGGGCGGTGGACAAGGAGAGCCCACATTGACCTGTGTCCCCGTTGTCAGCTCTGCCGCCTGGCACTGCGTCCTGCCCTGAAGTGACACCAGCACCAGTCTGGTGGTGGCCTGTTGGAGTAGTAGGCAGCAAGCCCTGTCCTGTTGTCTCTGCCCGGCAGGGTCTCTGGGAGCTGCAGGCCTTCCTCAGTCCCTCAGCTGGTGGCCCTTCCCAGCGTATCAGCTGAGGTGTCCCCAACCTGGAATATTTTCTGTAAAATTGTCTGGGTCATTGACGGGTTAGTGGTTTCTGGGTAACTATCTAGTAGGTGTGCCCATTCTGAGGACCTAGGGTGGCCCTCCTCCCGTTGTACACCATTGGAGGTGCACTGTCTGTGTGTCCGTGACTTTGGGAGTCAACTTTTAGAGCTTTTGTTGCTGTGGCACTTGCAGCCTTTTACAGGGGATCAGATCCAGATGAAAGATGCTTTTTTTTTTTTTTAATTTCAGGTGGAGATGGTTGAAAAAGTGTTTGCAATCTTTACGTCAGATGACGTTGATTTTCTTTTGAGGAAGTCCGCTGCTGAGCAGTTGGCTGTCATTATGCAAGGTACTGCCTGCCTTTGATAGATGGACTCAGCTTGGAAGTGCTCCGGTGGCTGTGTTTCCTGGCCAGGCTTCAGGGGACTAGCCAGCCTGTGGTCGGCTCTTGTGCAGCCGGCAAACTTAGAATGCTGTTTTACATTTTGAAATCTTGTAGTAACACAAAATGAAGAAGAATATGCAACCAAGACCGGAGGTGGCCAGCAGAGCCAAGAATTTCCTGTGTGGTGCTTTGCAGGAATGGATACCTACCCAGTTCTAGGGATTTGGCTTCAAAACGTCTGCCAATAGAACTGTTTTCCCTTGAAAGTAGTGACAGAATTCTGACTGTAGCTAGCAGGTACCTTTTCTCACGTTAAAAGACCCATGGTGGTGCTGTGGGTTCCGCCTTGGTTTGTTAACCACAGAGTCAGCAGTTCAAACCCACCAGCTGCCCCACAGGAGAGAGACGAAGCTGTCTGCTCCTGTGAAGATGTGCAGCTTCAGAAGCCCTAGCCTAGAGGGAGCGGCTGTGAGTTGGAAATGGCTCAGTGGCAGTGGGTTCGGTTTGGGTTAGCTTTTCAAGGTCCCTGGTACATGTGCTTCTCAATGTGTTCCTTCTTGCTTAGATAGACGTGCTTTTGTTAGTGGGTGAAGTACGTCTGAAGCACGGAGCACTGCCCTTTCTTTAGGGGCTTCCTCGTGAAGACAGCTCGGCTGAGGAACCAAAGTCTTGCTGGTAGGGAGTGTCCTTCCCCAGCTTCTGGCCATTCCACTCCGTCAGTGCTTTCACCTGGCTTGCTTATTGCTCCCTCTTTGTCATGTACGCAATTCACTTCAAACTACTTTTTTCTAACCTGGAAGGTGGAGATGGTTAACATTCTTTGTTCCGACCTTAGTGGGAACTGAAATGAGTCATTTAAAAGTTCTCATTCAGCAATATATCCAGTGTTTTATTATCAGGAGGAAAGGCCCTCAGTAAATGTGAGAGGGTTAAGTTTAAAACACAATCAGGCAAAACTCTCAGTGTTACTCCTCCAGTCCATGCTGTTCACGTTGTGTAAATACTGTGTAGTTTGGTCTGCCTGTGGTGGAAACCAGAGGGTTTTAGCAGCAGCTAAAGGCAGTTAAACGGTGATTCTGTTGGCTCAGCAAGATTGTTTTCATGGAGCACAGTTTGCTTGTGAGCTGTTAAAGGCTTACAGCTATTGTAGAAGCAACTAGTTTTGGGGTCTAGTGGTATCCCTAGAGTGTGTGTGTGTAAATATAACCCGTACTTCTTTACCGCGAGCATGAACACGTGCTTATGACAAACATATGCGAAAGAATCTGCTGTGCAGTGCCTCCTCTCTCTCCTCTGTTGCTGATGAGTTTGCAAGTCAAGATCTTACTTTGAGAGGAAGCTGCTCACCAGGCTGTCACACTCACATCAGCTTGTGGAGAATTCACAGAACGTTGTGAGAGGGATGCACTTAGGAAAAAAGCGTTCGGCAGTGAAGCCATACAACGAAGTTTATTTTCTACGGGACAAGAATGGTCAACGAAATCAATGTCATGAAGCTAATTGGCGTGCGCAAGTGGAAGAACTCGCCTGCTCCCTTGGAGATCTAGGGCTTCTCACAGTCTGAATTCACTGTTGTTTTTTAAACATGGTTTTGGGTTATATATTTTTTTCATTCACACTACAGAAGTAGGGTGTATGTGCCTGCCATTTAAGAACTGTTAATTGTGTAGATGTGTATAAAGTTAAAAGCTTCTGCCTTGGATTTCGACCCCAGGGGCCATCATGCCACCCCATGAGTCCCCACAAAGAGCCTTGGAAGAGTCCGAGGAAAAATGCATGGAAAGATAACAGACTTTTGCCGCTAATTTCCCGAAAATACCTCCTGTTTCAAAGCAGCTTGAAAATTTGGTAGATTCTGTAGATTT